GAATGCCACTGCTATGCCTTAGGTAGTTAAAATTACTTGGCAGTACAGAAGAAAGAGTGCAATCCTGCAAATCTTCCTCATCACACTTGGGCATCTATCTACTGTAATGCACTTTAAATGCTGTGACTACCTCCTGTAGAATTCAAAGGTTTGTAGTTTAGGGCGGCTGAAGGCTTCTCTGGATGAGCCGTTCAAAAGTCCCTCTCTAAACTACAAACTCCAGAATTCTGCAGGAGGCAGTCACAGTAGTGAAAGTGGATTAAAGTGGATAGATGCTCGAGTGTGATGAGGCACTATGATTATGTATGCCTACCCTATTTTTTGAAAAAAGAATAACTACTCACAAGGGAACAAAGGGGAAAATCTAAAGGTGGGAGAGACCTCAAAAGCTTGTTTGTATGTATCTTCAAATATAGGGTCCATATCCCAGAATGCTCTTGGAAACGCAATCATTCTGGGACTTGGTGCTGAGCTTTGCCAAGGTTCCACTGAGATGAAGAACAAGTGTCAAATTGCAGGGTGCATTTGAGGTGAGGAAAGAGAAGACCGTCTCCAGAGGCTATGCAACACTGTCAGCAAATTTATCCTGTGTGTGTACTCAGGGCATAGTGCCAAGATAGATGCTCATCCATAAGTTTGAAACAGTTTTAACCTAGCCAAACTGCTTGCTTTAATGATGCACAACACATAAGAAAAGTCTCTGTTGCTAACCATCTCTCAAAGCAAGTTATGTATTCCTATTACTGTGTGTGATTATTTCTTAATGGGATTAAAACAAGAGGTGGGAAAGTGGGAAGATTTGTGTTGCAACAATTATTTCTAAAAAGCACCACCAAAGCTAATGCTATATGTGGCAATGCAGTTTTTTCAAAAATAAAATAACATGGCCAAGAACCTGCATTATCATCATAATTGCAATGATGGAGTTATAGTTACAACAGATGGTGCCTCCATGAAGCTACCTTCACAGCCTGAGGTTACCCCAACTGAAGTGTTTCCAAGGCACTGGAGATTGGGGCATCAGAAAGTGGTGTCCTTAGTGCTCTTCCATTGTGGTGTGCCTTGAGAACAGACTGTTGGAGAGACTCCTGTTTGTATTATTTCTAGTCCTCTGATCTCTGAAGCACTTCAGTTGGGAGCCACCAGCCTACAAAGGTAGGTTTTAGTGAGTTGACCATAAACATGAATCCCCAATAGGTATGATATCATGAGTTGAGGTTATAATACTGCTGAGCAGGGTTCAAGTAATTGTTGTGTACCATCAAGTTACTTTTGACTTACATCAGTCCTAAGGAAACCCTATCAAAGGGTGTCCTTGGTGAGATTTGTTCAGAATAGTGTTCAGAATAGTGTTCAGAATAGTGGGAGTCAGGACTCTTGTGGGGGGTCATGAGGGGGTTTTAGGAACCCCTTTGGCCACTGGGGACATGGCCTTCAAGGCTTAGCCACACCCATCTTGATTTAAAACTAACTGGGAAGGGAAACTGTGAGATTTTAAAACATGGCCTTCAAGAAGGGAAATCGCGAGGCTTTGCCAAAGTTGCTTAATTGTTCTAAAAATCAAAATGACTCTGGGAGACATCCGAAAATAATTCCGAACAATGGATAAGTGGTTTAAATTCGGAATTACTCCTCCCACTATTCCTGCATGGATCGAAATTGGTTAAAAAGGGATTTTTTCCAAATTAATTATGATTTTAGAAGATTCCGAACGAACTTGCCCAAGCCTAGTAGTAACCTCTTGGCTGAATGCAGATGTTGAAAAACTGCTTAGATCCATTTCCTGCCATTTATGAAGACATAAGTCCCCAAGTAAATTTGAGCTATTTACATGCTGGGAAATGCTAGTTCGTCACTCTAGATCAAGGGTTCTCAAATTTTTTAAACCACAGAGCCATTTCTGAAACAACAGTATCTTTGTGGAGTCCCAATAAATGTGTAAATACTGTATTATAGAGTATATTCTATATAATGTGTGTGTATCATGAGTAAACTTTTTGACACATTGTGTTTTATAGTTTGACAGATGGACCAGGCCCATGGCAGAGGGAAAAAAGCTTTTGGTGGCAAGGGAGGTGGTGGTGGGGAGAGGGTTTTGGCAGCAAGTGAGGTGAGGGGAAAGGCTTTTGGTGGCAAGGAAGCTGAGGAAAAGGGGGTTTGGGCACCGGGATAGGCAGGGGAGAGGAGAAGCAGGAAAGAGGAGGGATGAGAAAGAGGAGGAAAGCATGTAGCCCCTCAGTACACTTTGCGGAGTCCTAAGGGCTCCATGGAGCACACTTTGAGAACTGCTGCTCTAGATGATCTAAGCCTTCTTAAACTTTTTGCACTCGTGACCCTTTTCTACCTGATAAATGTTTATGTGACCCCAGATATATATAATAGATTTAAAAAGCATCAGTTACTGAAAATAAATCAGCATTTGTAAGGTTTGCTAAACAAGCTGATTTTCTTTTATGTGGAGCACAGCCCATGCACTGCACTGTCTACTGTAAATACCACACCTTGTTATCAGATTTGTGTAACTGGGTGTCATGCAAAAACCCATTACTGTTGCCAAATGTTTCATGACTCCTGAACTGAGCTAAGGGGATCCCACAATTTAAGAAGCAGTGCTCTAGGTAATGTTTTAAGAGTAGGAGCCAGCTTCGCAGGAGTCCTACACCAGAGTTTCGGCATAACAATTAATTAACAACCCATTTTGTTCTGTTTTTCCTTTTCTCCTAGCCATTGTCTCATTAAGTATGACATACACTCATTTCTTAGAGTCTTTGTATGTCTGAGTCACAGTCTCAAGCTCTTTTCTGTGACAAGGGAACTCGCTCGTACACAGTTGCCATCCACATTTGCAGGAGCTGCACGTACCAAGTGTTTTCAGCTCTTACCAATCTATTTTTAATCTCTTTCTCCAAAAGCACCTACAGAAAAATATACATGAACCTGAGCAAAAATATTATGTGTGAGAGAAAAGAACATACAAGGTTAAAAACCAACAGTTTTGGGGAGCAATGTCATTGTTTTCCACTGTGAGACTCAGGTAGTTGAAGAATGGACAAGCTCACTGGAGAATCTGTCAGAATGTACTCCTAGGTGATCAAATACTGTTTACATTCCAACTTGTAACTGTAATTACATTGTAAAATAAGCTCAGAATTTCCTGGTAACTTATTTTTTAGTCTTTACTTTTGACTTGCCATTTCATTTGAAGATGTGGGTCCTTTTATATTCTATTGAATCCTGAGATTTGCACTGGCTGCCAATCCAGGTTACTCTTTCTACACCATCACACAGGGTACTATTTGGCACATATACTCGTTCCTCGATAGCTTTATAATGCAGCCTGCCATCTCCCATCCCATGAGATAAAAATATTTCTGGTGGGGTTTCATCATAAAACTATTGAGGAACCTGCGCATGCCGCCACAGTGGCAACACAGGAGGCTTCCCATGTTCAATAGGAGTCAACATTTACCCCCATGGGATGAGGTGTGTGGCAGCAGGTTCGCCATGCACTCCACCAGGCACTGCCAGATTCACCACAATGCGAATCTGGCCCATCTGATGAGGTCTTTGGTGCCTTCCCCTAGACTCCAGAATTGTCTTCTGAGGCAAGCCAGAATACCCCCTTCATTCTTGTCTTTCTTTAGTCAAGTAAAATCTTTTTTTTATTTTACAGATTTTTAATACAGAAAAAATTTAAAGAATGGGTATAGGTATATTTTAAACCCGATTGTTTTTATCATTTTAATTATGTATTCCTATCTGTAGATATAAACTGTTTCAACACTATGATTAATGCAGTTCCATTTTAATATCCATTTTATATTACTTTACTTGTACTGTTCTTTTTAAACTTGCACCTCTTTAATTCCCAATTTTGAAAGTTAGACATCAACAATAGCAACAGCAACAACTATCACAATTATACAGTGTGATGTACTAGGCATTTTCAGATACTCATAAGAGATTTGTAAGAGTTAATCCCAATTTATTCAAGCAATTGTTAATAAAGCATCAGCAAAAAAGCAGTGAAGCATCTCATTAACAAAGCACAATACACAAAGCAACTGTAAATAATTCAATTTATTGGATAATATTGCAGTCAATGCAATGAAAATTAGATGCCATTATGTTGAAATGTTTCACTGGAATGCTATCAGAGAGTTAGGAAAGTGTATGCACTGCAGTTATGCTGCTTTGCAGTGAATCCGGTCCAATTCCCCTAATTCCCATTTTTACGAAGCAGCTTCTACTGATTGTCACGGGATTTCGTTGTCGGAATCACTGGTTTGCTGTGAGTTTTGGGGGCAGTATGGCCATGTCCCTGGAACATGCTCACACAGCCTGAAAAACTCACAGCAACCCAGCATCTACTGAATTTGACAGAGGTCGGTTTCCTTGTCAATCATGAAGCAGCCAATTGCCAATTCCATCTCCTACAGTGAGCAATCACCAGTACAACAAATAGAGTTATTTGTCAAAATTCCCCTTCTCACTAGAGATCACTCACAGGAGCAAGGTGGGACTGTCAGTCAGCTGCTTCTCAATCAACACAGTATGTGGGGCTATGTGAAGATCATGATTACAAAGCAGTCGCTTTGTAATCATGAGTGTCTAGGCTATGCATTTGTGACTAACCAACAGGTTGTCATACTAATTGTATTGTTTTAGAGCCATCGCAAACTCTGTTCCTGCGGGAGCAAACCTTGCTAGCACGTCCCTGACGTCATGAGCCTGCGCCTCTCTCCCCGCCCCTTTCTCCGCCCCTTTCTCTTTGCCAGCGTGGTTTTTCCTTTGCTAGGGCAGCATTGCCCGCATTTTCTCTCAGTTGAATTCTGCCAACTGAGAGAGTATGCTGGCAATGCTGCCCTAGCAAAGGAAAAACCACTCTCGCAAGGAGAAAGAGGCGGAGAAAGGGGTGGGGCAAGAGGCGGAGTCTCATGACGTCAGGGACGTGCTAGCAAGGTTTGCTCCTGCAGGAACAGAGTTTGCGACGGGTCTTAGAGTAGAGTGGTCAACACAACATCCAAGGGCTGCATGTACCCATATCATCAGTCTCGTGAATGTTGCTTAAGCAACAAAGCATTTTCCCCCAACAACACACATATATACTTCTGCTTTAAAAAAATGTGTTCAGAGAGAGCATAGACTTTGTTTTCAACTAAATTTTCTCTTTAGGGACCATTCGAGGGGCATGAACAAAGTTCTATGCTCCTCACATGCATTGTTTTAAAATGGAAGTGCAGCCTCCCTAGTGTTTTTCTGCCACTTCACTGCTGAAGTATTGCAACCTCTAGAATTCAAGAGGGTGGATGGTCTCAGGTCCCACAGATGTTATCCACCCTTATTTCAAAATATCATATGCACAACAAGAGAGCAGAATCCTATTAAAAGGACTTCTTCTCATGAAACAGGTTCCTATCTTCTCCTTCCACCTACCCCTTTGAAGAGTGCTTTGAAAAAGCACTCCTAGGGGTCATGGAATGCCCCAGAATAGCATTGATGTAGCACAGCTGGGTGCAAGTGAGAGGAAGGAGAGGCCATAGGCCATAGGCATCCACTCCCATCTCCCTTCTTGTACAAGTGCAACTTCATTTATGTTTGTGTGGGGTTGAATTGAGGCCAACATATTCAATTAAGTTCCTCAAAAAGTGTCTCACATTATTTTGTCAGCAAATATTGGGTAAGCTTTATCTGTTCTATTCTGCAAAAAGCAGAAAATGCAATTTTGTTAGGGACCAAGCATCTGTTTTTACTCAAAGTGGAGTAGGAAATTAACTAGGAGAACTGTGAGAGACAAGAGCTAAGAGAGTTTAATCTTCAAGAACAGTAGAAATAGTTGTGTTGTTAACTTCACTAGTGCTGGACGCTGAAGTTGGTGGTGCGCTCTTGTCATTAGTAATTGCTCTGCCGCCAACAATTTCTTCAGTGTTTCTTGCTGGTTTTAATAAAATAATGTAACATTTCGGCACAAATATACACCCTAGCAGACCAAAGCTGGAGGCAAGAATTGCAAATATCTCCACAGCCACTTTGAACTTCCCTCTTGTGCTTAAATAAGCGGGAACAAATGATATCCAGACAATGAAGAAGACCAACATCCCAAAAGTGACAAACTTGGCCTCATTAAAGTTATTGGGAAGCTTTCGAGAGACAATGGCGGTGAGGAAACATAAGATGGCAAGGAACACATCAAAGCCAAACATAACACACAGGTACAAGATGGAACCTTCATCACATTCAAAGATGATTTTCAGAGTCGTGAACTGGGTATTTTTATACATACGGGGAGGCTCCAGTATGAGGTATGCAGTGCAGATGCCAACTTCAGTCAGTACGGAGAGAAGGACAATAACTTTTTGGAAAATTGGCTTGAAGGACATTCGGGCTTTCTCAGCAACTTTTGAATTTTTGGCCAAGTGAGTCAGGAAAAGCATTACCGTCTTCCCTAAGACACAGGACAGGCAAAGGGAAAAACCCAAGGCAAGGGTAACTTGACGGGACTGGCATGACCAGTCTTCTGGCTTACCAATAAAAAGGATGGAAGTCAATAAGGTAACAATAAGAGAATATTGGATGAGGAAGCTCAGATCTCGGTCATTTGCTCTCACAAGAGGTGTGGCTCTGTGCTTGATATAGACACCAGTCACAGCCAAGACAACAAAGACACCAAAAATAGACAGAGCAATCAAGGTCATTCCTAAAGCTTCTCCATAAGCCAAGAATTCCACCTCTTTAAGCACACATTTACTTCTCTGCTCATTGGACCAGTAATCTTCAGGACATGCTGTACATTCTCTTGCATCTGGAGAGAAAACAACCAGAATTGCTTATTTTAAAAATGGTACAGCAAATTGATTTGTCTGAGAGCTTAACTATGGCATTTGTTTTCAGTGATGGAATCATTCAATCTTAGACTGTATTACAAACAGATAGAAGGAGCTTTGCAATGGGTTCAAAAATAAATATTTTTACTGGGTTATTGTAGGTTTTTTCGGACTATATTTTTACCTCGCTGTTGACTATAGCAAGGGTATGGTGTGACTATAGCAAGGGTATGGTGTGAGGGGAAATTTCTGTTCTTGAAAACTTTAAGGTCTTTTTTTCCAGGCACAGAAATGCCAGGAAAACTAAATGAGAGCCCGCTTCTGATTTTGAAAAACAAAGGGGTTTAAATGTTTAAATGGTAAAGATGGCCTTTTGACATATTGGAAAGGTAAATTGCTGCCTCTGAATCTTTAAGGCTAGCCAATTCACATTCTTTTTCTTTTTGTCCAGAAAATGGATCATTTAGGGAATCACACAAGGCTTGACTAGTACCAAAATAAATAACACCATTTTAATCTGCTGCGTTTTACTGAGTATTATATTTAAATTGAGTAAGGGCTTTTGTATGCTCTTTTTATGTCAATCTGTTTTATGTTAATTGATATTGTTACTGTTTTATAAATGTTTATGTATTTTACTGTATATTGTATGTTTCTGCAGCACTACTATGTTCTTTTGTAAACTGCCCTTAGCCCCTTCTGGGAGATGGTGGCAGGATATAAATGATGATGATGATAATGAAAGAATCCCAAAACAGGTCAAATGCAAGCAGAACAAATTATTCTACATGATGTAATGCAGGCAACATTTTGCATAATCTTTGCATATAATGATTCATGTTCCCGATATTTATTTATTTATTTATTTATTTATTTTTGGTCACAAGTATGCAAAGCATTTTTACCCAGAGGTGATCATGCAGCAAGAATGGACATGAAACGTGGGAAATTCTCAACTTCCAGATATTGCTGAACTTCCATTGGCCTAAGCCAATACAGACAGCAGGGAAAGATAATGGGAGTTGCAATCCAACCTCTGAGGACAAACTCTGGAACAAGCATATTTCACAAATGGACCTTTCCACAAACTGAAGGAGGCAAATTCTGTCTTCAACCCCAAATGATAATTTCATTAACTTTTATTTTAAATGTGTAAAAAGCCTACCTACTTCTTTAAGCAAGTAGTACAGTATTTAAAGTAAGGATGTGGTGGAAATATATGGATGTATTTTTTATTTGAGAATGTGTCGTGGCCAGTCAAAGATATTTTACTGTCAAAGGCAAACGACAACAAGCGCCCCAATCCATTGTATAAACAGACAGCAGCTAAACCATCTGTTAAACCTTATGTCAACACAACAAAGGGGAAAACATTCTCGACCACATCTAAGGCCAACAAATTAGTTTAATGAGTGTCCCCGAGCAGCAGAAAATAGATGGGGATCTGCCATTGCTGTCACCCCACAACTGCTGCCTGAAATGGTTGCATAACCCAGCTTAAGGGCCAAGTCAGCACTGAGATATTCAAGAAGCCTAGTGGGAACTGCATTTCAAATTTCCCCCTTTAACTAAACCTTGATACAAAAGAGGTTGCCATAAGTCAGAGCTGACTTTAAGGCACCTAAAAGCAATGAACGAATAAACATCATTTACTTGCTGACTTTCCAACTGTCCCTAAAATATTTACAACAAGCAGGGAAAACAAGTCCGTCTATTATGGCAGGAGAGGTGAAATCATGCATTTGTTCCATGCTGCATAGAAGCTTTTTTGGACCCAAGCCTCTCTGAGGATAGGGCCAGCACCAAAGCACCTCCAGTACAACCCAGAGCAGATGTGAGGGAAATGTGACAGTATATTCACCAAAAGTAAAAATCTATTGGACACGACATACAATCCTCACCCTTTTGCAGGGAACAAGACATCCACCACCGGAATTTCACCGGTAAATTAAAAATGTTAAATTGAAACTTACAATCTAGGACAGTGTTTCTTAACCTGGGGGTCAGGACCCCTGGGTGGGTCACGAGGGGGTGTTAGAGGGGTTGCCAAAGACCATCAGAAAACACAGTATGGTCGTGGGGGTTCTGTGTGGAAAGTTTGGCCCAATTCTATCGTTGGTGGGGTTCAGAATGCTCTTTGTAGGCAAACTATAAATCTCAGCAACTACAACTCCCAATTGTCAAGGTCTATTTTCCCCCAACTTCACCAGTGTTCACATTTGAGCATACTGAGTTTTTCTGCCAAGTTTGGTCCATATCCATCCTTTTTTAAGTCCACAGTGCTCTCTGGATGTAGGTGAACTACAGCTCCAAAACTCAAGGTCAATGCCTACCAAACCATTCCAATATTTTCTGTTGTTCATGGGAGGTCTGTGTGCCAAATTTGGTTTAATTCCATTGTTGGTGGAGTTCAGAATGCTTTTTTTGTAGGTGAACTATACATTCCAGCAACTACAACTCCGAAATGACAAAACCAATTCCTGCAACCCCCTCCTCCACTATTCAAATTTGGGCATATCAGGTATTTGTGCCAAATTTGGTCAATGGAATGAAAATATATCCTGCATATCAGGTATTTACATTACGATTCATAACAGTAGCAAAATTACAGTTATGTAGTAGCAAGGAAAATAATTTTATGGTTGGGTGTCACCACAACATGAGGAACTGTATTAAGGGGTGGTGGCATTAGGAAGGCTAAGAAACACTGATCTAAGAAGCATTGTTTCTTTTAAAATAAAATGTATTCCACTCCCACCCTCTAGTATGTTTTAGCTTCCTAATCCTGCCCATTTTCAAAAAACAAAACAAAAACAAAAACAAGTTAAACTAATTCTGTTTTCAGCTTTCTATACTTTTAAGCCTCAGGGGGGATATAGATTGCAGCAGCTCCTAAAGAGCAACAGTCTCAGCAAATTCACTGAAGTTTCATACTTGTTTGTTAATGCAGTCATCAAGGTCTCATGGGGGAATGAGAAAATATTTCAGAGATTTCAAAAGTGGTCAGAGTGTTTTGGGGGTATCATTCACACATTGATGCATCTTGAATTGCAACTTTCTTGCAGTGGCTAGAAAATTGCTAAAATTAATTAGTAAAGAATTGCATCCGTAGTCTTACAATAAGATATTTTATCTAGTTTGGGTAAGATAGAATAAAAACTGGAAAAAAGCTAAAAGAGAAACTAAGCTGCAGCTACAAATGACTGCATTCTTCAGGTGTAACTTCATACATAACTTTTGGTTAACCAGAGGCTGGACAAAGTCCATAAAATGGCTTTACCTTTTTTTCTACTACCACCCTTGTCTAAAATGCTTAGACCCATCCATACCTGTAATATTACTGATCTGGCCTTCGGCACACTTTATGCAATCATAACAGCAGGAGGGCTTTCCTTGAAGGATCCCCTTTCGATAACCGGGCTGGCAATTATCATTACATGTTGATCTTGGGCGCTGAAAGTTAAAGAAAAAAACATTATATTCAGAGACAGAAAAAAAACCTGAACGTGTCTCTTCCTGCCATGAAATAAGAATCTCTTATTCAGTATGTTTTTGTTGGAGATGGTACTAAAAAGACTCATGAAAACAGCATTGAGCAAGCAGGTGAAGCAGCAGAAATAGCTGGATGTGATCTCAGCAAGGCAATGTTAATGCAACAAATTTGGACTCCTGTATCAAATTGTCTGATCATAAAGTTCTACCCTGATGAATTATTGTTATTGTATCTTCAAATCATTTTTGAACTATGGCAACCAAATGGTGAACTTATCTCTGGATTTTTGGGGCAAGATTTATTCAAGGAGGGGGGTTCATATCCTTTTTCTGAGTGAATGGATTTCCATCGTCAGGCAAGGATTTGAACCTGATCTCCAAGAGTTTTAGTTCAACACTCAGAACATTGGCTCCCTATATATTATGGTTACCACATCAAAATGGGAAAGGGCAGTTTTAATGGTTGTATAGAATAGAAAATCAGCAAGTGTTGATTGTCTAAATCAGGTAAGAAGTAACTATAAAAATTCCTTCTAGTCTGCGATAATGTTTTAAGGCTTTGTCCGGTTTTTATATTTTTATATTGTATGCTAATGTTTTTAACAGGTTTTCATGATTGTTTTATTTATTATGATTGTTGAGGCATCAAATTGTTGCCAATTGTGAACTGCTCCAAGTCGCCTCTGGGCTGAGAGGGGCAGTATATAAATATGGTAAATAAATAAATAAAATATGCAACCATTAGAAGTATAGGAGCCCTCTCCAATTTCCATTCAGGTGTCCTGAACTATATGCCTCTTCCGCCCATACATGTTCATGTCATGCAAATGGGGTGAGTATATGCAAACCCTCTAACCCTGAATGGAGAACACTGTTTCCTGAAAAATTATAATATTTTTCTGTTCCAGTAAACTGTTATTACAACTGAGCTTCAGTTCCATTGATGGTATCCTCTCATGGCCCTAGCAAATGATGGGCATTCCAGAAGGGCTCTTGACTAAAAGTATATGTCCTTGTCTTTCCTAAAAGCCCTTCTGCACAATTCGGTTTCCTCCCAAGACGCTCATCCCCCCGCCCCTTATACACATTTGTAATCTTTTTATCTGAAATAAACCTTCTGAAGCAGGCACTAAAGTGCATAACTATTGCAAACTCCACTATGCAGAGAGGAACATCCTTTAATTCAACCTGCCAGTGTGGCAAACATCATTTGTGATGCCAATAGACATGTTAAATGTGTCAATGTCCATTTTGCTCTGCCTCCCATAAGAAAATATGGGCAATATTTCTCATTATGGGAATGTTCTACATCTGAATGGAGAAGGTATGATTAATTTGCCCTTCTCCAACTGTCTACTTTATGTTTTCTACATATTATAAAAAAGTAGGAATAAGCATGATAAGCAGATGTCTATCATATATCATACATATAATGGTAGAAATAGCAAAGATTGTTGAAACAGAAACCCCACATTAACAAACAATTAAGTTACTGGGCGGCTGTGAGTTTTTCAGGCTGTATGGTCATGTTCCAATAGCATTATCTCCTGATGTTTCACCTGCATCTGTGTCCGGCATCTTCAGAGATCTGTGAAAATGAGGCCAGTGGAGTGCATATATATTTGAAATGTCCAGGGTAGGAGAAAGAACCCTTTCTCCTTCTGTGAATGTTGCAATTAGCAAGTTTGATTAGCATTGAGTAGCCTCACAACTGCAAGGTCAATCAGTGGGGGTATTCGCATAAAGGTAGCCTGGCTGTTGTGCCTGGAGGCATCCTTTGTTTGGGTGGCGTTAACTGGCACTTGATTGTTAGCTGTCTGGAATACTCCTGTTTCTGGGTTGTGTTCTTTATTTACTGTCTTGATTCTGGTATTTTTTACTACTAGTAATCAGATTTTGTTTTAATACTGGTAACCAGATAGTTTGTAGGTTGTGTTTCTTCATCAGCTTCCCTATGTGGTCAGTAATTCCCCTGATGCATGATAAAAACACTTTTACTCTAGGTGGATCTTTGTCTTTACTCTTGAGGCTTGTTCTTGCTCTTGCAGCTCTTCTGATGACACAACCTACAATCAATCTACAGACCCATCAAGAAAATTCAACACATGCTATGTTCAGCAAAGGATAAGAGGGGTCCCTCAACAGGAGTCTACCATATACCATGCAGCTGTGGACAAGTTTACATAGGGACCACCAAACGCAGCGCCCAAACACAAATCAAAGAACATGAAAGTCACTGCAGACTATTTCATCCAGAGAAGTCAGCTATAGCAGAGCACTTGATGAACCAACCTGGACACAGAATATCATTTGAGAACACAGAAATTCTGAACCACTCTGACAAACATCATGTCAGGCTACACAGAGAAGCCACTGAAATCCACAAGGATGTGGACAATTTCAACAGAAACGAGGAAACCATGAAAATGAACAACATCTGGCTACCAGTATTTTAAAAAACACCAGAATCAACACAGTAAATAAAGGGCACTGCACATAAACAGAGGAATTCCAGACAGCAATCAGTCAAGTGCCAGGTAAACAAGGGATGTCTCCAGGCAAACAAAAGCCATGCTATCTCTATGCTGATACCCTTACTGATTGATTTTGCAGCTGCAAAGTTAAAAGGTAAAGGTTTCCCCTTGACATTCAGTTTAGTTGTGTCCAATTCTGGGGGGTGGTGTTCATCTCCATTTCTAAGCCGGTGCCAGTATTGTCCATAGACGCCTCCAAGATCATGTGGCCTGCATGACTGCATGGAGCACCATTACCTTCCCGCCAGAATGGTACCTATTGATCTACTCACATTTGCATGTGTTCGAACTGCTAGGTTGGCAGAAGCTGGAGCCAACACTGGTAGCTCACCCCACTCCCCGGATTTGAACCTCTGACTTTTTGGTCAGCAAGTTCTGCAGTTCAGCTGTTTAATCTGCTGCATCACCAGGGGCTCAAGGCACAAGGTTACTCAATGCTAATCAAGCTTGCTAATTGCAACATTCACACTTCCTTCAAACAGGCAAGGGTTCTTTATCCTACCCTGGACATTTCAGATATATATACACTCCAGTGTCCTCATTTCCAACAGATCTCTGAAGATGCTGGTCACAGATGCACGCAAAACATCAGGAGAGAATGCTACTGGAACATGACCATACAGCCTGAAAAATTCACAGCAACTCAGTGATTCTGGCCATGAAAGTCATCAACAACACAATTCACTTACTGCTTCAGAAGGATTGTTCCAAAATACTGATTCATTAATTACACGAAACTCTTTGTTCCCTTCTCCAGTCATATTAAATATTCCAATTTTGACAAAGTTAATTTCACCAGTTTCATTCCTCTGCCAGTTTAGAATGTCATATGGGGTGTACACATCTCCCTTATCATTTATGTCCACAAACTCATCAAGAACTGTGAAACGCATCCAATTTTTCATGTAATACATGAGCTGTGAATCAGAAGACAAAAAAAGAGAATACATCAAATGTATTAACATGCTGTTTATATCAATGCAAAATTACTATAATGGTTTCAAGATAGTGTTTTTTAAAGACAATCCAGAATAGTTGTTGTTGTTGTTGTTTTTATTTCTTACCCGCTCCTCCTCATGGCCCAAACCAGGTTACATCATCACTAAAAACACATAATCATTTAAAAACATTCTATAAAATACACATGTTAAAACATAGTTCTACAAAATATATATTGAAATATACAGAACAAAGATTACACATAAGACACACGTTTAAAATTCATAATTATAACTGTCAGGGTAGGCCTGCTGGAAAAGATACGTCTTCAAATGTGTTTTAAATACTGACAGCTCATTTAGCTGTCAGAGTTCTTCTAGCAGGTCATTCCAGAGTCTTGGGGCGGCCAACGAAAAGGTCCTCTGGGTGATGTTCGCAAGTTGGGTTCTGACTGGTAGGAGTAGCTATCTCCCGAAGGACTTCAATGTTCTGGACAGACTGCATGAGAGAAGGCGCTCTCTTAGGTAACCTGGACCCAAACCATGTAGGGCTTTGAAAGTCAAAACCAACACTTTGTACTTTGCCCAGAAACTAATTGGCAGCCAGTGGAGTGACTTTAGGATAGGTGTAATATGTTGGCTCCTGGATGTTCCTGTAACCAGTCTGGCTGCTGTATTTTGAATCAAGGGAATTTCCAAACTTGGTACAAAGGTAGACCAATGAAAAGTGCATTGCAGAAGTCCAACCTCGAGGTAACACTGCATGCACTACCATCTTATGTCATCCAAATCTAGGAAGGGATGCAGCTGATGAATCAGTCAAAGCTGCACTTCTGACTGTTGTATGTACCTGGGTTGATATTTGGAGAGATGATCCAGGAGCACCCCCAAGCTGTGAACACAGTGTTTCAGTGGGAGTGTAACCCCATCCAAGACTGATTGACACACCACCCCCAGATTAGGATCCTTGATGGCAAGTACTTTTGTTTTGTCTGGATTCAGTTTTAATTTGTTTTTACCTCATCTAGCCCATTATCTCCTCCAGGCATTCATTCAGAGGAGACATGCTATCCTTAGCTGAAGCAGTTTTTGAAGGCATGGAGAAATATATTTGGATATCATTGAGTCTCGATATGGGAGAAAAGTGGGATAGAAATAAATAATCAGCACCAGCATCATACTGATAACACCCCACCACATGTGTCCAGATGATCTTGCCCAGCAATTTCATGCAAATATTAAAAAGCATTGGGGAGAGAATGGCACCTTGTAGGATGCACAACTCTTTCTTTTGAGGAGCAGCTATGCCCAAGCACCACCATCTGGAACCTGCCTGAGAGGTATGACCAGAACTACAGCGCCTCCATTCTCCCAGACATTCCAGAAGGATACCATGGTTGATGTAGAAAAGAGTGTCCAGCGATGCTTTCATCCCTGTTGGGGGCGGGGCCTGTGCAGGAAGTCACACAATATTATGTGATGCTTGGCAACGGCCTTCATCCCCCAGACAGTGTGAAAGTGTCCTAGGACACTGATTTCACCCTGTCTGATGAGATTGCTTGTTATTTCTGTGTAGTTCAATCTCCTGAACCCACCACAACACATGCAATAAAGAATTCCAATCTCTCCACTGATCAAAAAAGTGAATTTCAGTGAGATGCATCTTATCTAAATTATCATAAATCAACAAGTTTCTGATCATTATCGCCATCTGTAATGCAGACTGAGTCTACCTTATTAAAAAAAATCAAACCAGAAGGTTTTTTAGATTTCAGACTTTTTCCAGTTTCGGAATATCTGTATTTCCATATACATAATGAGTGAGGGAATGTGAAGAAAGGGGATTCATGACACATTTAGTGCCCACCACATCACACCCCAGGAGACCCTGCTCTTTCATTGCCAGAAATCTGAGAAAAGGCCTCTGCAAAAACAAGACATCCTGGTCTGCTAGCACACTTTACACTCTTTTTGTGAGTAGCCAGAAAAGGGTAGAAAAATTCCTTCTCCCCTCCCACCACCCACTTTTTAGTATTTTTCATTCTCTCTGAGCTAGACACAGATGGCAGCGAATGGGGTCACTCTGCATTCGCCATCATAGTCCATTTTCAGGGTGTCTTCCCCACTTCATATTACCACTGAAGGACACTGGTTGTGTGACTAGCCCCCTTTCTCTAAGGGAGGAATTGGGTGGCTAGCAGCAAAACCTTCAGGTTTTGAAGTACTTGCATTTCAGATTTCTGGATAAGAGAGAATCAACTTGTATTAGGATGATGAATGTGATGATGATGATAACAACATCATCTTATATCATCACCTGCATCATCCCACCATACTACAGACGAGCAATTGACTCTAAATGATAGTAATATCTCAAAGGCCACAACCAGTTCATGGAAAAGTCAAGATCTGATACAGGAATACCATGATCTCCTAACTATTGTGTTACATACAGATATTAGAGATCATCACAAATACCTACAGTCTAAAACATGGTGGAGAGAGGGGAAAATTCATGGTAGATATGAAGTACATGGAAAATGTTTGTGGCTGCCTCAAGGTCATGCTCTGTTGACTCTGAACTTTTAAAAATCTAATTGTATTTTACAATGCATAAAATGTATGATCATTTGTAAATGTCTACATACCTGCCAAGGTTCAAAGTCATCTATGCCGGCACATGTTTTGCCTGGCTCAAATGGCCCTTCTTTACCACTTCCCTCACAGAGGCGTAACAATTCAAGTGCATTAGCAACAGCAAAAACAGCTTTATAGACATTATATGTAATTCTAAGATGTGAAACATCCAAGTATGTATTATTAAGTTCTTCAAGATTTTCCTCTCCTGTGCACAACTGATCTGAAGAAAAATCAGTGATGTTCTCATGGCCAGTGACATTTTTTCTATTGTCTGTATTATATGGGACACTACTGTTGGGCCAAGTACAGTTGAAAGCAGTCTGCCAAAATTCAATTGCGAGGTCATCATCCGGATTTTTACTTGGGTGTAAGTCAAGGAGAAATTCTTTAAGGCCTGGTATTTCGCCCCTTTTTATTGCAAAACCAATAGTTCCACCAAGAATGGGAAAATATTCTGGCCTAGCAATTAAGGCTGATGTGATCCATGCCTCACTTGCTATCCAAGTTTTAGCACTGATGTTGCTGATTATTAGCTCTTCCATTAATGGATGGAAGTCTATATCAGATGAATAGACCACAATGACTGTAGCATTTGTGTGTTTTACAGTTTCAACAACTGACAGGATCTTATTTCTGGAATATATTTTTGGGATTGTTTCTGAGAAAGCAATGCAGGTTTGGGTATTCTCCACCTTTTCTTTAAAAGCTTTGACACCATATTTGCCGTAATCATCGTCTGCTGCGATTGTTCCAATCCATTTCCAACCAAAATGATGAACTAGGTCTGCCATTCCTTCAGATTGCACTTCATCACTTGGAATGGTGCGAAGGTAGGTAGGAAACTGGTATTTATCAGAGAGAAGTAATGATGATGAAGCATAGCCAATCTAAAGATAGGAGGAAAAGACCATTTCTTAAAAATAGTATTATGGCAAATATTGCTAATCTCATGTGGTACATTTCCCCAACATAGTACACTTCAGATATGATATAACAACTCCAGCATTGCCAGCCATCCCCAAAGTTGGGGTGATGAGAAATATTGTCTAATGATCCATCTGAAGAGTTCCAGACATAGTGAACCTGTTGTAATCAGACTTCTTTTCTGGCTGCAAAAAGCAATGAGGAAATGTTCTTGGGAGACCAAAGGGAGTAGCCAAATCTTGGAAAAGTTACTTTTGAGAATACATTTATCAGAATTTTCCAGCCAATATGGTTGTGGCATTACACTGAGAAGGAGCCAGATTCAATGTATGGCATCTACATCTCAAACTCTGCAAGGGCAGATGTTTTGCCTGAAATCGTGGACACCCAATCACCTCCAATCATAGTAAACACTTCTAGGAAAACCAAAAGAGCCTGGCCTAATATAATGTAGCTTCCTGTTAATAGAGAGGAAGGAACTAGTGGGTGAAAGGATGGCAACATGACTGGGAATGTCAGGAGGAATGTCAGGTGACAGACTGCTTAAGCCTGTAAAAGCCAGAAGGTCAGAAAAGCTAAATGAACTGTATGAACAGCTCTGAAGATGGCAACTGTTTCTCCATTACTTCACTTAAGAAACTATATTATCATATCTAAACTGACTTCTACTGCTATGTTGAAAAACAAATGAGTGATATCTTTGCCACTCAACTGTAAGCCAGAGATTGTAGGAAGTTTTTTGGATGACTCTCCCAGAATCCCCCTGCCATCATAGCCAATAACTATGGTGCATGGTGGGATTCATGGAGCTGTAGTCCAAAGAAGTATTTTAAACCCCAAAGCTTTCATACAGACCAATCAGAGATTTAGCATTAGAGTTCGCCTTCTACTTTCAGGGGGATTAGGGGCACAGGATCCTCATGCAAGTGAAGAAATTCAAATAAAAAACCCACTATTTTGTTTCACTGAGAGAATTTATTTTATTTATTTATTTCCTATATTTATACCCCGCCCTTCTCACTCAGGACTCAGGGTAGCCTCACAACAAGCACCATACAGTGCCATCACCATCATAAAACATTTCAATAAATACATTAAAACGGTTAATTAAAACAATTGATTAAACATTCCAGTTAAAAACCAAATCCAAGATTGGGTCAATTTATTGTCATAGGTTGCCTGAGTCTTCTTTCCATTTGCTCCTTGCTCCTAGTCACTAGTTGAACACCTGGTCCCATAAAAGAATGGCTTTTAGAAATATCTAGATCCTCCAAGATGAGTCTATGATCAACCTTCATCAATAGCAAATAATGGACCTGGAAGACCTAAAGATTTTTGTAGAAGCCTTCTCTGTAGGAATCTCTAGGTGTTTTGGCCTACAACTCCCAGAAATCCCAGCCAGTTAACTAGCTGTTAGGATTTCTGGAAGTTGAAGGCCAAAACATCTGGGGACCCACAGATTGAGAACCACTGCTCTAGGTTCTCCAAAGCAACTCTATGGTCAACATCTGGTGGGTGCATAGACTCACCCTGAAGTATGTAGAGATTCTTAGAGAGAAAACATTAATCAAATCTGCAGAAGTTAAACCTGTAAATATAGAGGACCAACTGTAGATGCTGATCTGTTTTCTGGCCATTCCTGCTGTTCTTTACATATCAAAGCTGTCAAAAGCTTCTGCTTAGTAATGATATTAAAGAGGGAATTGCAATGTTTGTGTTCCTTCCTTCCTCCATCTATGAGAGTCTCTCAGGTTTACAGATGAAACACATAACTACTGGAATATAGTCTTCATTCCTAGGAGAAAGCAGCTCATCTTGAAGATTAAGCTGAATGATATCACTGGTTCAGAATAGGCTAACCCATTCTCCTTAGCTCAGGAATCATGGAGGCTTTCAGATTTTGCTAGACTGCATGGCCCATTAACCCTAGCCATCATATCCAGTGGTCAAAGATATCAGGAATTGCAGTTCAACAACTTCTGGGAGGGCACGTAATTGCCATCGCTGTCTTAGCACTTGTGCTATTTTGGAAAGTGAGTCGTGGAGACAGAACAAAAGGCAAACAAATGTCACCCAGCAGTGACATCTGTAATACCTTGTGATTTTTCATACAAAACTATTTCCTTCCTTTCAAAATCAAGAAAAGGAAAGTAGCTTATTCTAGAGAACACAGAGTTCTGTTACTGGTTTATTAGCTGACCTACATACAGTAATAGGAACCAATTTTGCAGTCTGGGCATAATAAATGGGATCTGTTGTGCATCTCACACATGCAGGCCTGTAGCCGGGGGGGGGGGGGGGGGGGGGGGGGGGGTTGGGTTCAACCTCCCCCTCCCCGAAATTTTTCAGGTTAAAAAAAAACTGGTTTACTCATGAATTTTAACTGGTTAACCAAATCCCCATGTTAAGTCTATGAGACGCAAAAAATTAAGAACTGCAAGCACTATCTCAAGCAAATATTGACAATTTATTCACACTGTCATTACTTACAGCAATAGCCAATGTAGCGAAGCAACCAAGTTGCGGGTGGGGGGGGGGTTGTTGAATGCTCTCATTAAGGAGGCCAGACTTGGTGGAGGTGGTTGACAGGGGTGGAGCTGCAGGCTATTGAAGGCTGCTCTGCCCCCTGCTGTGCTATTGGCTTCAGCGTGAGCTAGGAGGCAGGTTTCAACCCCCCCCTCCCCCACGAAATTTTCAAAAAACCCCCCACGAAATTTTCAACCCCTCCCAAAAAAAATTTCTGGCTACGGCCCTGCACACATGCATAAGTTCCTTATGAAAGTGGTTAGATTTTTTTAAAGCAAAAACTGATCACATTTAATTCAAAATTATGGGAATGTGATGCTATTGTCCAAGCACATTGGGTCATGCATTGATTGAGTATTCCATGGCACATTCATATGTGCAACAATGCCATTCAGCATAACTTAATATATGGTGATTTACTCTGTGTCACTCCAATGTCAACTATCAACTGCATTTCTTAAAATTATTCTTTATGGGATTTTGGGTACCTGAGGGAAATAGTAAAGCCCAAGGATTCTTGAAGAAGCAATGGAAAGGGTTGATCCACCAGCTCCAACGACTGCTGCTAAAGGAGCCCCAGAACTGCATCGGAAGACAGGGGTTGTTTCATTCTGTCCAGTAAGGAAAGCTAAAGAATTCTCCACAGTCTTGGACATTGTATAGCATGTGTCATAGATCTGGTAACCAAGTGTTATGTTTGGTAGAATGTCATCTCTTTTGTTAATATCATTAATGGCATGAATCATGGCCTTGACCCAGCGGTAACCCCGGAAATTAAACCTGTAGGGGAGAAAGGATTTGCAAAGTGCCTGTTGGTGAAGGTGCTAAATAAAAAGTTGAAACCAGCATATTCATCCATACTTGTTCACATGTGGAAGTGTCCATATAGAAGACAGTGTCAAGGGAAGGGGAACCAGAAAGAAAAGGCAGATTCTGGGAAGTTATTTTTCTCTCTCAATGTTGGACTGCTATCTGTATTTGAAAAAATCAATTTCCAAACACACACACACATATATAAAATCACTGGACTATGAGGTCAGGAACATTAACTTTACTCACAGTGTCCTTGAAATGAAGCCAGGGCTCTTGTGAGGGAGAAATGAGAAAAAAAATACTATCAGCAGCCAAAAAGGAAGAAAAGCTTCATTGGATGACATAAAAAAAATCATCAAACAATTAAGCACAAACAAGAAGCTAAGGTCAAAGAGGACAGAAAAAGGGTTAGACCCCTGAATGTAATTGTTCAGTGACTTGTGCACAGGGACAAAGAAACATAGGATAACAATGCAAAGAAAAAGAAAATAACATCAACAAATCTAGAACAAAAGTTCTTTTTCATAAAATCCGAGAAATCAAAGGGAAATCTAAACTGAAAATGTAGATGATCTACTACCAGCAAGGGAACACACTGGATGCTCAAGATGATATAAAAAGCCAATGGAAACAATACACAGAAGAACTATATAAAAGAGACGAAAGAATGACCAATTCACTCAATGAAGAGCCATTTGAAGATGTCTACATTTTTAGAAAGTGAAGGGAAAGCTAGACTCAAAGCCAGTGGGAGAAATCAATCACCTGTAACTGCTGCCATACCAATATAACTGTTTCATGCAGCAGAGATAGAATGTTACTTTTTAAAAATTAAGGATTTAAGGAGAAAAAAAGCATATGAGAGTCTAGTGGCACCTTTGTTGGGTACACATCTGTGTGGACTGTAACCCACATTACTCCTATTATGAATAATAAGTTACATATATTAAACTATATACAAAAATGTAGCAGACTATATTATAGGTGAAAGCCAATATTTGCAGTGTGATACTTCTAAGCTCTGACATGGAGCAAAGTACTGAATTTTGCTTTGTCATTTCCTCTGCAAATGGAGTGATGAGACAGAATGCACCAGCAACAGGCTTGTTACCAAAAATATATTACAGAAGTATAGTGATATGATTCCACTTGAACTGCCATGGTAGAAACCCCAAGGCTTAGTGAGGAGTTTTTTTAAAGAAACTTTGATAGCCAGGAAAGGAGATGAAGGAGAGCAGGAGGTTGGTGTCTCCACTCACCATGCTGATGATGGTTTGGCACAGGAGGGAATTTGACCATCCCGTCACCAAAATTTGAGGTTGCGTCCCCGTGGGTGAGCACTTTGGTTCCCTGCACATTTTATGCTGTGTAGGAGGGCCCAATGCCTTGCTCATAAACTATCAAATAGGTCTATAAAAGGAAATATGATCCTTCAAATAACCTAGATCAAAGTCATGTACAGTTTTCTAGGTCATCATCAACACTTTGAATTGTGCCCCAAAATGGACCAGCAGCCAGTGGAGCTGTTGCTGTTGTAGTCATTGTCGCCACCACAACCATCATCATATAATATGCACCATCAATTTACAAATTGTTTTACAAGTAAATCAATCCAAAACAATGAGTCCTGTCAAAGACATATGATCTAAAATATATGTGTGTATACATATACACACAGTGGGAGGGTGTAAATAATAAAAGATCAAGCTATACAATACACCTGTAAAGCAAATTTTACAGATGAAATACAAAAAACACAGCATAATATAAAGCAACTTGACCAATACGTGTAATCAAAATATACTCGATTACATAAAAAGTAAAATTTAAAAACTTTGGAAAAAATTTTTAATAAAAAGAGAAGTCTACAAATGTTCAGGGAGGCAATTCCAAGAGATGGGAGCAGGGAGAAAAAAAGGACAAACTAAGGTTGGTTGGATGAGAAGACTAGCATTTCCTAGACTGCAAATATCAAGGAGGCCAGTAAAAAGAAATAAGAGCTTAAAGATAGAAGGAAGCTTTGAACATTAAAGCAAAGGCTTTGGATGTTGAAACAAAGGAACAACAAAGGATTTGTGTATTCCCTGGAGCTAGCCACAGTTAACAACCTGCCTGCAACTATTTGGACCAACTGAAGTTTTTGAGCCCTTTCAAAGGAATGGATTACAGTAATCCAAATAGGATGTAAGCAAAGCATGCATGGAGCCCCCGGTGGCGCAGTGGGTTAAAGCGCTGAGCTGCTGAGCTTGTTGACCGAAAGGTCGCAGGTTCGATTCCGGGGAACGGCATGAGCTTCCACTGTCAGCCCTAGCTTCTGCCAAGCTAGCAGTTCAAAAACATGCAAATGTGAGAGTAGATCAATAGGTACCGCTCCGGCGGGAAGGTAACAGTGCTCCATGCAGTCATGCTGGCCACATGACTTTTGAGGTGTCTATGGACAACGCCGGCTCTTCGGCTTAGAAATGGAGATGAGCACCAACCCCCAGAGTCAGACATGACTGGATTTAATGTCAGGGGACAACCTTTATCTTAAAGCATGTGTTATTCTGGCCTTAAATACCCCCCTTTTATCTGTAAAATGGTAGAAATCAATTTTTCCATCTGAGCTATACTTACTAGCAGGTATTTTTCCCAGAGTGAGGCTCATCAATTGCACAAAAGGTGTACTGACCCCTGTGATTTCCCTAAATACAGGAAACTTGACTGGATAATTTGTGGTTGCAAATATTATTCATGGAAAGAGGTTATAGTAGGTTGCTTTTGCCTGAATCTAGTGGGAAGGGCAAGATTCTAGAACAAGACTGGGAAATGTGGGTTACAGCCATTGATTGCTTCCTCCTTTGGCACATACACTTTATTTAAACTTTTTGGGCATTTATAAAAGAAGGGGTTTTGCTCTTAGGATAAATGTATTAATTCCGATTCTTGAAACAGTACATTTTATTCTAGAATGAGATTTGCTATATTCTTAGGGTTTTCAGTTGCAACCAACTGGGAAAAGGAGGAAAGCATAAGTTTTTTTAAAAAAATTACACTTCATATGTCACATCAAAAGGCTTTCTAATCAGGCTTAGAGTAAATGAGGAAATGAGGGAACTGCTGCAGCCATCACATGCAAATACTCAGCCTTAACACTAAGGGGATAAATAACAAAGATCAATTGTAACTTCCCCATTTTTTGCTCCCCATAACATGAAATATAATTGAAATGTATTTCAGTTTATCGGCAGCAGAGCAGACTTAGGAAATCACTTCAAAAAAAGTAAATCAATCCCATCACTTGCTATTTAAAAAACAATACGTTGTTAATTGTTGTTGTAATGTTTTTAAAAAGAACTCGCGTTGCTCATGTGTTGCTCAAAGTTTTTCCTTTACTTTCCATTATACTTTCCATTTGTACTTAATTGTGCTACTTTTTAAGCTCAATTGCAGATTCATATATTATAACTTGTTACAGCTAGCTGATTTATTAGTAAATAGTTACTATCATTTCTGAGCAAAGGAAGGTGAAATGTGTGGTTCTTCAGATGCTATTGAGGTACATTATCTCTGTTCATTAGTTGTACTGATTGAGGATGATGGGAGATGGAGCCTAGCATCATCCAGGGGGTTGAAAGGTCAATGTGGTTTGTATATTTCATAATATACATCAGTTGAGTCTGCAGAATAAATACAGTGGTCAGTTCAGTTTGCCACAAATTGAACTATAGAATGTCATATTGTTCAATAAGAAAGCTGCAATTCTTTGTCAACGATCCAGATTGAAAGCCATGCTCTGTCAAAATGTATCACCAAATGTCACCCACTGGAAATTCAAATGAAAAACTATGAGCTGTGCAATTTGCAATACTACTAGAGCAATTTGACACCACTTTAACGGCTGTGATGCATCTTACAGGATACATAGTACTTTTATGCCTGCCCAGATGCACCTTCCTCCTTGGCCTCTGTCCAGCTGGGTGTGTTTTTAGCAGCACATGGGGGATGGCGGAGGAAGGTCTGAAAAAACTCAATCAGGGTTGGGTTGCAGCAGTGTGTCTGCAGTAAGCAAAGTAATAAAGCTTCCATTGGGAAATGGCATTCTACAAACAGTAGCTGCATTAAAAAAAAACCTCCTGAACATAGGACCTCATCAGACAGGGTGAATTTAGCATCCTAGGATGCTTTCACCCCGGCTAATGGACAGAGCCTGACACCGGCCATCACACAACGTTGTGTGACTTCCAGCTTAGTCCCCACCCCCAACTGGGGTGAAAGTGTCACTAGACGCTTTCCCCACAACATGGGAGGCTTCCCGTGTTGTGCTGGCTCCAATGACGCTAGTATGGTGCCTTGCCAGGTGATGTGAGACGGGGATGGCACCAGGCCAGCCAGCAGATTAGACTGAACCAGATTCAATCCAGCAATCCAAACTACCCAAAACTATGGGGTAATCTGGAATTTCCAGAAAATCCAGAGTATCCCCCAAGTTTGCTCGAAGTTGAACAAAGTTAGTTTAGAGCAAAGAGCCCACTGTTCCTTATTTTTGGTGGTTTTTGCAGGTTGTTGTCCCCTCAAAGCCTGCTCATTCCATTCTAGAGCAGGGGAGTTTGTACCATTTTCTGCAATAAGGTTTTTCCAAAGAGCACATAAAACAAAAAGCAAACAAGTATGGTTTCCGAAAATGGTTTTAAGGAGAAAATTTCACTTCTGTGGATAATTTTAATAATTAGGGTTTTGTATTACAGTGTAAAAGTGCTGCTTCGTTACGACTCTGAAAAAAAACTTTTTTTTAAGGAAAGGAAAGAAGGTAGAAGATGATACTTTTCTGTTCTGTTATATCTTGGAAATAAAAATAAACTCACTTCTTTGGGAGAACGTTGTAGCTGGTGCCAGAAACTCTGAATGTTATCTTGGATGACAAAGACATTAGATTTAAAATAAAATAAAATAAAACAATTACAGCAACAAGCCCTGCGCCTCCCCTA